TACACAGATAGTATACCCTGAGAAAGGTCATAGACTACTTTATAGTGCGAAAAAAGTATTGTAAGGGATTAAAAGCGGAGATGAAAGGTTGTATAAAAGTATCGTCATTGTTTAAGTGAAACAATGAAACTTTTTTAGGTTATAATCTAAATATATTTCCTTTATTTGGTCAATTTCATTATACCACGCTGACGAAGTCGCGGATACACCTAATATACATATAAGGATGGGACCTTTAAATCAAAACAAAGTTTTGAAAACACAACTATTATATATAAATAAAATAATTATTTGCTAAGTATAATATTTAGAACAAGTGAATATGGCAATAATGTATCCGATTCTTATAATAAATTATATTGTATCTATTAATAAATAAACTGAATTAATATATAAGAAGAATTAATTAGTAAATTTATGTTATAGTAATTTCATCTTCCTGTCCTTATCCCAATTATTTGTTACTCATATTACTTAAGGTTTTGGCTTTTAGTTGTACAATCGGCCAGCATCCTGACATCAACCCTCTAGGAATAATATAATAAAAAAATATGGCCATTATTAGCACTTTGATAATTAAGATAAATCACGTTATTTAAAAAAATCCAATAAGTAGTCTCAGTTAAGTAGAAACATATCACATTATTAATTAAAATATTACAAGGATCAAAATGGTTCATACTAAATCCACACCGATTGCGCTACACGGTTATTTGCGTCTGTGTGCGTGTATTACTGTGTGTGTGCGTAAATCCATGCGATTAAACCTAAAGTTGAGCGGCATCATTTTGTAATAGGCCTCTTAAAGATCCACAGGGGTAACTTAAGAAAATATATACGTAGGTCTGTATAGGAACATTATTTTCAGTCAAATTCAGGGCTTTATCTTTATAGAGGTACATCACATACACCTACCATAAATGCTTATTGTCAAATGTTACCGAGGACCACTTGATATCGATAAGTATTGTTCAAAAGTATTTTTTCAGCCTTTCATAAACTATGAACACTGATCGATGTATTAGGTGTGTACCTATCAATAGTAGTATGTAGTGTCACTGGGTATAATATCAATCTATTAGAGTTAAAGACGGCATGATACAGCTTCATAGAGTCGAAACAAATTATTATCGGTCTGACAGGAATAGCTCTTCGTCGATATACGCTTGCATCGAACGTCGAAAACAAAATTTTGAATATTTTATGCGAATGTAAATAATTTTCCACATGGTTAATCCATAAACTACACAGGGTTTCGCACTATTTTAGTAATCTAACGTAGCTGATGATATGACTGATGCGTATAAAGTCTATCTAATTAGGTACGTGAAATATTTTAAAGAAGTGAAAAGATTTAAGTAATAGTTTAGTAGTTAGAATCACGGCATATTTTTGGACTGTAATATTCTACGTACATTTCAATAGCTTGGCTGAATTAGCCTGAATTCAAAACTTGACTATTTAGAAAAATAAACAAGAACTTGATTTGAAAATAGAACTCTTCTGAGCAAGCCAATTAGATACCTACTTAAATTTTTCCGCATCTACGGATATTATACACTGAGCCGGGAATCACTATGTTTTTTTGAAATATATACAGGCTGAATATATTGCACATAATATTCAATATTGTAAGACCAGCTTGCAACACTGTATTCTGCAAACATATAAATAATTACAAAATGATTACAAATTAATTATTAAATATCAATCGAATCATCCTCGCATTCTTATTGTAGGTACCACAATATCTTGCGTATATATTACTTAATCTACTTATAGCGAGCAGGTGGGCGCCCGCGAGTGCCACGGATTGGTCGGCCTGTAGCTACAGTGGTGGTATTGTTTATAGGGATTTTTATTTTTTTCGGACTACTCTAATGCTGTTGGCCGTAGCTGGCCTTTACAGCTTCACCGGACGGTAGGGTCGAGTGCAGATGTCACTCCAAACCCGCGGAAGGACTTATGGAGCTCCATGGAGGATTGACACAAATTGCATATTTTCATAAATACGTAAGTAAATCCGCAGATACATTAATACATTCACAATGCGTATTATTTATTAATCCTTTGTTTAACACTTTTTAATCGTCACCTTTTGATTGTTCTTGTTTATTTTTCTTAATATACATACGATACGTACTAGATGTGCTTAAAATATTTTAGGAAGAATAGCGACTTTTTAATTATTCATACATTATATTTTTTATCTTGAGTCTAAAACTTGAAGCTATTAATAAGCTATACTCGTAGATGTCTAAAATTCAGCTAGATAGGTTATTAGAATGAAAAATTATCTTACATAAATTTTTATTTTTTATTTTTATTTTTCATAATTAGATGAACAGCATCCAAATATGATAAAATTTTGCCAAGTTATTGCTGGCATTTAAGGGAAGGCTTATAACCATATAAGCATATCAAATGCCAGCAATTATCTATGCATAAGAAACAATTACGTTAGGAGCCGTGCATCTCGTATTCGAAATTTATTTGAAAGTTTGTACATTTCTGTAACCTTACGCTAGCAATGTGCCTGTCCAAGCTTCTACTATGATCCTAAAATATTTCAAGCCTTTTTACACATTCTAAAATAAGGACATTTCAAATAATAACAGCGAACTACGGAACACGTTAAAATAAATTCCACCAAAACAACAATGCTACTTGTTTACTTAAAATTGGTCCGAATATTATTTGACTCCGCGGGCGACTAGTAAACTAGGCCTTCGGTTTAATTACATAATGGCACTGAATATAATAATTATAATGTCGACTTATCTATTCAACTAAATCTTCACATCAATGGGGCCGGTCAAATTAAAAACTCAATTCGTTACTTTCTTAATATATCTGTGGGAGTGCTTGTAAATATGTGAAATAAGTACTGTGGTAAATGTGTACTATAAACATATAATAAAAAAATAGAAAACTGCCACTTCAGATGGAAACAGCATGCAATTAAACTTAATTTAACGTAATTTGGTCAGAACAAAAGTAACTTAGGGTTTAACTACGCAATCCTATCGCTTAACAATTCTCATTGCATTTAAAATGAGAATCTACATTTTTTAAACATGTCTGAACTATGTCACTGTCACAAATCCAATACAACCCATCTTTAGCTTGTGTTATCAGCTGCGTCTTCCTTGTCCCATTCATTTGTGGTCGACGTAATATGGTTTACTCTTCCATTCATCCCTGTTCACAGTCATCTCGTTATTTACTCCCTTTCTTACCATATCATTATTCACACAGTTCATCCATATCGTCTTTCGTCTGTCCTCACAACCATCCACATTCAATGATTGTTCTAAAATCACAAACTTATTCATTTTAATCTGTTGCAATTTAGAATTGTTAGCATGTCGGTTGAAACGAAGCGACTTTTATGTTTGCTATATTTAGAGAAAGAATATAAAAAATTTACTTTAAAACTTATATATATGCTAGATTCCTCTGACAAATCGACTTGTTTTCTATTTTTATATTATTTTTTCAGTAACATTTTATACAAACTGGATATTTACCGTGATTATTTATTTGCTCTTTACTGCACCAGAAGTATATTACAAAAACACATATACAGATGTAATAAAGTACAAAAGGCAGTCATATCGCGTGGTAGATGGCGCAAGAATTTACTAGAGTTTGATTATGTTGTTTATATGGGCGACCAGAAAGCTACGATTTCACTCGTTTTAGTTATAGTTAGTAACTTAAAATGTAGTATTTTATTAATAAATTAAATATAAATTAAATTATTTGTTTTTTTGGCAGCTGGATGGACTGAAATAAAATAACACGGCAAATGTCCCGATTATATAACGCATATTATTATAAACGAAGAAGAAAAATGTTTAAAATAATATTGTGAGTTTGCTCCATAATAATGATCAAATAAGTTATATTAATAATGGTTATTTATATCTATCTATGTATTTCATATCACCTTCATCCAATCTAATTTAAAACTTTTAAAAATGTTATAATAAATAATTATTATAATGTTTCAACGATGCAACCAGAAATGTTCTTTAAATGTAATAATAAATAATTATTCTAGTAATAATTTGGACTCTGCTTCCAAATTTGAAATCGAGAAGTTCATGCCAAAGCGGTGGTACTTTATTTTAATAATTCTTAGCACTAATTTTATTTAATAAAAAAATATTCTTGACTCTAAATTAGGTACTTATACCGATGAGGTTTAATACTCGAGTGAGAGTCGATATTGCAAGTGATTTTATATTACATTTGGACATAGTAAATTTGAGGTAAGCACCTAAGTGTTTATTTTTATTTCATTTGACGCGTTTATCCACGTAATATTAAAGAACAACGCTATATTGTATAACTTTACTGCACAATTCTGAATTTTAAGTAGATTACGAGTTGCAGTTACAAGATATATTGTATAGCCCGTAATTACAAATGTTAAATGTCATACAAAATTGCAAATTATTATTTAATAAGAACAATTTACTGCCAATGAAAATTATATCTATGTCCAGAAGTGGACGTCATCCGGGCTGCGATGATGATGATGATGATGAATGAAAATTATATATTTAAAGAACACACACTTTAATATAAAGGCTATTTAACTAAATTAGGTAGCAAAAGGTCTTGGTTCATCGAATGCCCACTAGATTCTCCTGTATGGTGTTAGACCACTGTACAGACTACTATTTGCTCTATCGTTGAACATTATAGCCTATTTCTTGAAATTGTTATGAATTTACATAAGGTTATTAAGTACGACTGTTTACATCTCTTCTGAAATATTAGAAAATCAAAATTATAAATAAAGTGTGGTGAGCTTATTCTTTAATATCACGTGTTGTAGATTTATCAGGCCGCAGAATATTAAAATACTAATAAGTAACCATTTCGTCCATCTTTTTATGAGATTGTTGAACACTTCTTTATTTTTCCAGCTGGATTAACGATCCAAGGATTTTAGAAATCCAAACCTAGAATTTATTTTATACCGGATCTCATACGAATCTGACGACGGCGACGGCCAGAAGAGAGATTCCGGCTTTAAGTTCAAGTGAGGGGGCGATGTGCGCCGCCGACGAGTTTCCAGCTAAGATTAAAGCCCGAAGACGCTGCCGTTCCCGGTACCTGCAGTCCAGAATAAATAAGCCAATTAATACCTCTCTTAAAATATCTCGACTTTTCTATGCAGGATATTTGAAAAACCACATGTAATATATATACAAGTATAATAATTAAACAAATAATAACAAACATAAAATAGTATTTTATAATATAGGGGTGTTAAGTCCTGGATAGCTAATAAAGCCAGTGGACTGTGATTAATATATATAATATGAAAACAGTTATGAAAGATAGACAGATGTACGTTAAACTAAGAAAGGTGGAATTATTTGTAAGCCGGTAAGTGTTGGTTCCGGTCGGGCAAGAAGTGCCGGTGTCCGCCACCGGCCGCAGTTGCCGATGCGCAGCGCCCCCGCAGGCCGCGGAACGGTGCCTTGAGTGTGTAGACAAGGGGACTTCTGGATGATGGTAAGAGATTACCGTCGTTCTGACACTAGTGGAATTTCATGTGTGTTGTCGGATTTTAGAAGTAGGAGAAGAGACAACTATTAAAAAAGGGATATATGAAATGCGCTAACACTTTAAGAGCGTTTTTTTATTTTGTGCTCCACAGATTACATTTTGCCATAAAACAGTTTATTCTATGGATTTTGATTTGGTTTGGTTTCAGAGATGACCAAAACTTAAAATAAAACCAAGGATGGACTTATCGGCACCGAGTTTTTACGTATTTGTTCCATTCGTAATCTCTGTCTCTCTCTGAGACTCTGAGAGCTAGTAACTATTTTGCTCAACTGATCCACGTTGGTGGTAACAATTGATTTATAATAAAAAGATAATCACTTATAAAGAAATGTTTACGAAGTTAATAGATATATAACATTAGTGTGGTGTCACATTTACCTGGTGTCTTCGCCGGGTGGGTCTAGGCACTCGAATTCGCAACATCGCTCGCCGACTCGAAAGTTTTTACAAAACTGTAAACAAGCGGAATCATAAATTAGAGAGACGAGACGAAATTCTTAGCAGTCTATGAATTCGCCGTGTTTGTGCCGAGTCCATCTTTTTGCAGAGAAAGAAACTCTGAGCTGTTGTTGATGTTGTTGCAATTTCTATGTATAAATATGACTGACTCTCCAGATTACTGATATGCTCTCTCTTAAATAAAAAAGAGAGAGATGAACTTCTTGGCTTCCCTGGATTCACTGTACGTGTGCCGGGTTCATCGTGTGGCGAGACTCTGAGCAGTTCCCGGGACTTATGACCCGGGTGTAGATTTGAAGACGTACATCAACACTCATGTTCATCGCTCATGTTTCTCTCCCTGCCCAAACAAATCTTGTAGGAGCCTGCTAGTGCAGCTTTAGATACACGTTCTAGTATAGAACTTACTGCAGTTTTAGGCAAATCTGAATTTACATACAAAATACGCAATGTAGAAGTACATTTTACTTTATTGACGTCGAGACTATTACAATAAATTGTCTACACTACTCTTAAGTGGCTAGTGATTTGGAAGAGTCCATTTCAGAATTTTTTAGGTCATCATAACAATCCATTATCGTCCCGTACCTAGGTAGGCACGATGTTCCTTTCAGAAGATTTCTTTGTTATCGAATGAAATTTATTTAGCGTACTGTTACTACGTATATTTATTAGCAAAGGAATTTAATTTCAGTTTTTCTTTTACCTATTCCATGTGTTTATGAGTTGTTCTCTTATACGGTTCTCGTAACATCTTACGCATGAAAACGAGTGATGACATTGTATTTTTATTCCGACTTCTTTTTACTTTATCTTCTTTAACTTTTTTGGTAAATAGTGATGATTATATATGATGTTTACTTTATGATTTCACGATTTCTAATGAAGCTTTACTTATAAGCTATATACTCTAGACCAGTGTTTCTCAACGCAAGGCCCAAGCTCCATAGGGGGGCATCCATATAATTCGAAAATGGACTCTTTATTAAAATTATATGGAAAGTGACTTTGAATTTTTCATTGTTTTGAAAATTTAATTACTGTTTTATTAACAATTTCTTAGTGATTTCTTCCTAAAACCTATTAAGTAAGTTTCTTAACTGAACGTATAAATTTTTTTATGTTAATAATTATGTATGTTATATAAGATGGGGCATGACACTAAAAAGGAAACACTACTCTAGACGTTCCCTTCTAGTAAAGCCGTGTAGGATATATTTCTTTGGATTTATTTAAGAATTGACCACAGTGGGATAACTGACCTTCATCTTCTGAATCTTTTAATCATCTTTCACTAATTGCCCCTTAGCCTGTAGATACATATATATAAGATTACCACACAATTTTTATTATTCATAACAAATATTAGTCGTCTACTTGTCACACCAAGTAATAAATAATATATTTTAAGTACCCACTGTGCATTCAATACTTTGGCAACGGTTATTTCGGCCTACATTTGGCAAGTTATAACACGATAAATTATTACGTGACCTTACTTTTATGTATTATTTTATTTCATAGCGCTATATTTAAAATTTGTTACCGAAGTAGTAAATCATCGCGAAATGTGTTTATAGGACATACATTTTCTTTTAGGACTACGATATTTTACAGCAAAATTTAATAGTTTATATATATGTACTTATGGACTTGATCTGGATTATATTTATATATATTTAAATAAAATAACAAAGCAAACGTTTATCTAATTTAATTTTATATGAGACAAGAAAATGACATAATTAAATTGCGCGCGCAGCTGTACATGCGCGCTGCCTATACATTATATTTATGTACGTATACACCCATATACTCAACACTAGCCGACCCGCGCGACTTCTTCTGCGTACATTTTCCCCGTTTTTGCAACAGTTTTAGTTGCATTTCCGCTCCTATTGTTCGTAGCGTAATGTTATATAGCTGTTATAATCTTCCATGATAGGCTAGATCAGTGTTTCCCAATCTTTTTAGTGCCATGCCACATCTTAGACATTCTAAAATTCTTATGCCACCCTTTCCCCCTACTTAATATATATAATTCATAACATTGAAAAATTTAACTATTCACTTGAGAAACTTAAATAACAGGTTTTAGAAAGATCACTATGGAAATTGTAATTAAGTAAGAGACAGTAAGTAAGTTATTATTCATATTAATAATTTTAATTTTTCAATTCGAAAATGGACTCTTTACATATTCGAATTGCCTTATTAACAATCTGAAAAATTTAATTCTTTTACTTAAGAAACTTAAATAACAGGTTTTAGGAAGATCACAGGACATTATAATTGAAACAGTAAGCAAATTTTCAAATTCATAATTTTGATAAAGTCTATTTTCGAATTGTCCCCCTGCGGGACCTGGGCCACGCTTTGGGAATCACTGGGCTAGATGAAAGAAGTAACGTGTAAAGGCAGCCATTGAGCCCGTAATCCTCTACTAACAATCAAGTGGTGTTGCTTTTAGGACTGGTTTTAGTTATATGTCGAGCCGTATGCTTGATTGTGGAATTCATATAAATGATACTCACATAAGGCGGATCACAGTATATGGCTTTGCACCACATCGGCTCAGAGTGGTAGCAGACACAGAGGGAGCAGACTCCTGGGCCGGGCACGTACAGCAGGCCGTGAGGGACCGACTTGCCCTCCCAGTCTAGGCATTCCTCCTCCACACACGCTGGCAACATACAAATCAGTTATAAACATTATTAATTTAAAATATAATATTTGTATGAAAGGGGTAGAGTATGTAATGTTTTTTTTTAAAGGATAGTGTGTGAATTGTCCTAAGCTAAGCAGACTTGTATTATTGTTCTAGACAACAAATATAAATACATGATACATTTTTTTATAAACATAGAAAACACAGGTCGATCTAGTCATGCATACAAATGTTACCGTACAGGGAATTGAACCCGAGATCAACGGAAGTAAGGCGGTGTGCTAAAGAGCCAAGCCATCAGGCCGACAGATAGACATTCGATTAATCATATGCATAATGTAATTGACAACGGTAAGTAGATAACTAGTCAGACAATTAAAAACTATTTTATAACATTACGAGCTGTGTCCGCGGTTTCACTCGCATGAACTTTATAGCATATATGTTTTTCTTATGTATAAGCTATATTACTGTAAAGTTTCATCAAAATCCGTTCAATAGTTTTTGCGTGAAAAAGGAACAAACATCCATCCATACTCACAAACTTTCACATTTATAATATAAAAAAATAAGATTATTCAAAGTTTTAAACAATAATTTCTTTTCTCTGCAAGGATTGTTTAGTTTCGTGAATCACAAGTTTATAGCTTTTGTACACTTTATGACTAACGGTGTATAAAGAAAAATGTATAACTCTTTATACCTGATAGATAGCAGGCATAAATACAACTTGTAGGGAAATGGTTGTAGATTTATAGTCGAATCAAAACAGGTAACATAATCCGAGCCGTAAACGCAAGAGGAAATCTTTAAGGATATACGTACATACTTGTGAGAATGTTCCAATAAAACGTTTTATTTATAATCTATACTAATATTTTATTACAGTGGTTGTATGTCTGTTATTTTATCACGATTATTATTGTTAAACGCCTGAACTGATAGTAATAAAATTTATACGTACATACAATTAGCAAAAATAACAGGATCTTACCACATTTTGTATTATATGTTTTTATTTTTATTAAAGATGAAGAAGAAAAGATTATAGGTATAAATAAGGATGATAGTATTAATTAATTGTCAATAGAACGGAAAGATAAGGTACGTGATCTTGGTGTACATTTCGATTATAAAATGATCCTCGATCAACATATTGATATAATAACATCGAAGGCTTTTAAATCCTTGGGATTCGTACTGCGGGTAACTACGCCTTTTCACGATATAGCTACGCTAAAAAACCTGTACTATACATATGTTCGCAGTATTTTGGATTATGCGTGCCCGGTATGGTCACCACAATACGAAATTTATATAGAACGTCTTGAACGTATACAGAAAAAATTTGTTGATCATCTTGCCTACCGTTTTAGACGTCCTGTTAACTCCTATCTTGAGTGTTGTCAGGAGTTTCGTATTCCTACTCTTGAAGAAAGACGTGCTGTAGCAGAAATGTGCCTATTATTTGATATAGTACGCGGTAACTTAGATTGCCCTGAATTGGTAGCGCGAGTTGCATACTGTACACCTCCCAAGCGAACACGTCATACACCGCTTATGCATGTACCATCAAGGTCCACCAATTATGCTAGTAATGCCCCTATAGTGCGTATTCTACGCAATTACAATAAAAATTTTGAAAATGTAGATCTTTTTTTCGGTTCAAAATGCAATTTTAAATCGCAAGTTTACGAGCACATCTTAAACTGATCTCTTATATCAATAATAATTACCTATTATATCATAAATAGATAACATAAATGGCTGAGGAATAGACATCATAGTAATTGGATTTATAGTATGATAATTCTGACTGTAGTGCAATTTGTTTTTGTGTTATTTTTGTTGGGTATTGAAATACCTATATTGTTTAAGTTTGTATAAAATATACTATAAGTATATTTACGTTTTATATTACGTTTAAATGTAACATGTAAAATTATAAACATATATAGTAATGTATGTAATGCAGGGGTACATAACAATTACTATCGGTCCTGACCAGTCTGACGTGTGCTGCGAATTATGAACTCCCATATTACGCGGCCTAGGTCATTTCTGAAACCTCGGAATGTATTCCTGTTATCTTTTGTGTGAAGTCCGTCACTTTGTTATAATTTTTTACTGATATTGTGAAACCTATTATTAGCTATACTATTGGCAGTGGCAATCCGTGAGGAAGTAGCCATTATTATTGCTAAAAGTTGCATATAGATGGCGTGATTGGTATCGATGGAATTCTTCATAGTTTTGCAAACGTTTTAAAAAACAAAACTGTGTTTACAAAAATGTTTAATCAATTTTTAAAAAGTTATATATACATGTTAAAATGAAATAATGCGTTTAGAAAAGTAATTTTCATATATTTACTCATTTTGTTATTTTCCAGTACTTAATTAATTTAATCAGTGCTAATACGGGGCTCTATGGGCTAATGTTTTCAAAATGCTTTCATAGATGGCATTGTTGTCATTTGTATCGGCCTAATTAAATGTCTTTTTATATTTTCCAATAATAAGCACTTAATATATCATTATTGTAAATTAAACATATAAAAAAATTTTAAGTAAATTAAAAATAGCCGAACAAGCAAGTAATACTATTTCCAATAATACTTATGTATGAAGTGTTGTCATATTAAAAATAAATACATGTATTATCGATTTTTTTTAATAATCGATAACAGGATTTTATTACAGCGCATTATTCGATGATGCTTTTAATGAGTCGTTGTGAACAGTAAATTTTCATTATTTTGTATTATAGCAGTGTTCCGTTTCAAAGAACGGAATATAGTAGTACATTATTAGTGTCGTTGGTTATTTACATTTGTACTAAAAATCGATTACATAATAATTTAAAATATCGAGTACGAATCGTAGTTGTCTTTGAATACTGGCAAGATTAAAATAGTATTTAAAAAAAAGAGAGAAATCGACCCTAACTCGAATACCATAAAGTTGATTTTCCTTTCTCATTAATATCATAACAGTTTGTTTTTAACTTGCGTATGACTCTGTGGTATGATGTTTAACGTGTATTGTTATTGTACGGTGCATACATTTCAAAAATTATATTTTAATGTAGGTACATACATTTCTTTCATACATTTCATACATGTCAAAAATTATCTTTTAATGTAGGTACACACATTTCTTTCATACATTTCATACATTTAAAAAATGAACTTTTTATGTAGGTACATACATTTCTTTCATACATCTCATACATTTCAAAAATTATATTTTAATGTAGGTACATACATTTCATACATGTCAAAAATTATCTTTTAATGTAGGTACATTAATTTCTTTCATACATTTCAAAAATGAACTTTTTATGTAGGTACATACATTTCTTTCATACATCAAATATATTATTATTGTAGATATTGAAAGTTATGTATACAAGTAATTCTGAATATTATCAAGTTCAAAATAAGCACACATTACTGGCTTAGATAATAGAGTAATATTACTTGTAATAAAAACATTTGTGACACCCATATGTATACATATTACATAGTAAGTACTTACGCCCGTGCCGTGAGACTCATCTAAGCGTACAGCGCATGCGCGTCGTGCGGTAACCGCACCGACCGACCAATAGGAGCGCGCCTCTCGCGCATCCAGAAAGTTCGCGACTAATGGACGGTATAGTAATAAAGCAATGAGTGTTCCAGTGACATCATTATAATATTTTCTCGTTAAGTTTTATTGTAATATACATAATTTCGTATTAAGTAACGTGTTCCCCCGTTACACATTTCTAACGTGTAACGGGCGTGAAAGCGAGACAAACAGACAGAGTTAATTTAGCATTTATAATATTTGTAAGAATATCGCTATTAAAAATAGGGGTTGGTGAAAGACGGGCCAAAATTTAGGCGTGTATGTAACATTATAAATAAATAAAAAATTGTCCATAATACAAAAAAAAAAATTCAGGGTAGGCCACCCCTATGACTTAGGGGTATAAAAAATAAATAACAACCATACCTCAGACCTAGCAAGTATACATATCAAATTTCATCAAAATGTGGGAGAAATATGGCAACTAACACTGTGATACGAAGTTTATATATAAGATATAGCGGAATTCTCATTAGGGAAAAGAGGGGTACATCGTAGAATACATGAGGTATATACCAGTAAATTCATTGTAGCTAAAACCAGTCTCTTACACATAACGATTGAAATAAAAAATCATATAGCCCGATGTTGATACGTACGAGTATAAACGTATCAAAATCGGGCTATACGTATAGCGCAGACGCGTTACAACATATCTTCGTCGAGAGAAAAAAATAGGCATGGAATGTAGAATAAACTATAACATAATATATACATTGGCACATAAGCCATATCTGCAGGGTATCGGCTAACGATATTATACCTACACATTTACATTGAATCTTGAATCGTCCCTAATGAGGTACACGATACAGTTACCTACATATCTTGTATATACCTATCTTTGCAAAACAGATGTCATGTAGACTGAATTGACTGCCATCTATTTTCGTGCTTTGTTACTAAGCACCCACTAGTAATCCGAACTGCTTCAGATCTAGAGACATCTAGCGGCTACGGCGGCGAAATAAAATAGCCCGAAGAATAGCCCGAGTTAGGAAGGAACCATTTTCTTGTATGGGATGGGGTATCTGTATGTAATATTATGTTATCTGTGCTATTGGTTTGTACTTTCTGTTTTTATGTATTGTGTATGCTGTTGGTTTCAAATAAATAAAGAAATAAATAAATGATAAGGTCCCGTGATTTTCCTTAGTTGTACAATAAATGATGATCGCGTCATAGGTATATAAAAAAGTATGTAATAAAATTCAAATTTAATTCAAAAATCATTTATTCATGTAGGACATTTTACTCGCTCATGAACATCACATTTTATATATTTTTTTCCCTACTAATCAAATTTTATACTAAAATACATATATATCACATAACAAGAATGGACGTATGATATAATTGGCTGGGCAAGGAAAAAACACG